AAGCTTTGTCTGAGCATTTCACTGCAATCTGGTGTATCCCTGTGCAGTTAGTAAATGTTACCCAGTTATTTCTTCCAAAGTCAGTGATATATTATCATTATTATCATGACATATTATTGGACTATTGAAACTGAAACAGCAAAAGATTGTAATGGATGAGCTCTTGAATTATTTCCTTGTGTCTCAATCAAAATTAGATCAGTTTCTAGCACCCACTAAATATATCTTGAATTTTGAGCTCCTCAGCCAGCCCACACTGGGACAGCTCTCTGTCATTTTTGTGATTAATTCAGGCTGTTTTTCATTAAGCAGGCAGAGGCACATGGAGCCAGCCCTGGCAGCCACCTGCAGGACTGGTCCCCAGAAACAGCATCAGCCCACAAAAGATGATTAAGGAGGGGTGCAAGTGTCCTGATCTCCTGCTGGACACTGTCCACACAGCCAGCAGGTCAGTCTGGGGAGCCTCTTTAGGTAAATAAGACCCAGCTAAAGCTGTTGGCTGTAATGTGTTCCCAGAAGTAGCCCATTTCAGAATTGATTCTTCTCACCAAATATTGCCTGGCCAGTTTCTGCCTTGTTTTGGGGGGCTTTAGGGGAAGGGAAGTTCCAAATGTTGGCAAAGTCCAAACAGGTGTCACAACCACTGCTAGGTGTATTCCACAGGGAGCTCAAACTGCAGCCCACTTAAATCAGTGGATTTCTGCTCTCTCAAAATGAAAACACTCGCCTCCTTTCCAATGCTCAGGCTAAAAGTAGTGGCAGAAGAGATTTCCCCAAATACCACACTCCAGATTTATCTCTCAACTGGGATTAGAAACAGCTGAAAATTCAGGGTGGCCTTGCTTCAGGGTGCTTCCAAGGGATGACATGAGAACACACTGTAATTTAGGTGCGTTTAATCTTGCTATATTAAATGCATATTGCAAAGTTTAGAATTATTTGCTTCTAACTATCACGTTTCTGTGTTGCTTATGGAAACCTCAGCTGTGAGAGACTTCTGAGGATTCTGCATGCTTAGGTGCCTGCCATGGCATAGAGCTGAGACTGACTGGCAAAATTGTCATGGAGGCTTCTCTTAACCATTGCTTTCCCAGGGAAACACCTAGAAGTTTGCTAAAATTAGAATACCTAGTGGTTTGAACAGGGGAAAAATGACATTGTTCACCTTAAAAACCTTGTCTGACTATGTTAGGTCTTGGTAGCTTGTAGGTCTTGGTATGTGTTCCTGGTGTCTTGGAGGCTGTGTCTGCACTGGAGGCCTGGTGCACTCTGAAATTCAGATCCACGCCTCCCTGCCCTGCCCAAGGGCAGGCTGAGCCCTGATGTGAGCGGGTGCCACCCCTCTGTGTGCTCTGTTAGGGCCAGGAGGGGAGGCAATGCCCCTGGGATGTGGCACCAGCGGGACAGGGAGCACTGGGAGTGGGCACTGTCCATGCCCACAGTTTGCAGGGTGTGTTTGGATGGTCTGTGTTTACAACAACCATCCTCCAGCAGCAGCTGAGCTTCCTCCCCATTTGCAGAGGGCCAAGCACATGCAGCCCATTGTAAACAACAATATCACTGAATTCTTTCACATCCCTGGCTCCTCCCAGCACCCGCAGCGCAGTTTATCATGTTCTTCCACTGCACAATCACAATGACAAGTGATAGCATCTCAGCCATGGGTTCTGCCTGGCACACCCCTGCCATTTCCACTGCCCCCTCCGGGTCCCTAGCACCCCTTTCCTTACTGCACCTGACCCCACCAACATCAAGGCTGGCAAGAAAATGGAAAATATGTTTTCAATTAACCTTTGCTTCCACCCACAAATTCTCACCCTTCCATTCTCTTTTAATTACTGTCATTCCAAAATGGCCCCCAAATGAACTTTCCATCTCTTGTAAAAGTTATTTCCACATGAGCTGTATATTGAATGTAAGTGCCTATAAGACTTGTGTGGAATCTATTTAATGGATTCACAATAGGATGGTTAGCACCCAAACAAAGGTGTTATTCTTGGCATGCCACTCTTTGGAACTGAAACTTCCACAATTCTCAAAAAGATAAGGCCAGGAAACCAGAAGGAACAATATATCTGCAAAAGCTATAGCTACTGAAATTACCGTAGTAACTTACATCACGATGCAAATGTTAATATTATCACTGCTGGCTATAGTCTGGAATATAAATTATGTTGGTTCGTAATCTATTTTGCTGAATGGAGGATGTTTCAGATTAAAACATGCAAACCAAATTTAATCTAGAAATGTTCCTGGTTGCTCAGATGTCTCCAAGTATCTCTGTCTGTCACCTGAGCAGATTTCGACACTGTGAAAGACATATGTATGAATTTTGCAATGGCATCCAAAATGTGCTTGATCTTCACACATTTCTGTATAAAAAGATACAAAAAGAGCATATGATGGGTAGGAAAATTGGTCCAACATTTTTTAAAGTGTTTAGGGTAGAATAAGGAAAAAAAAAAAGGACAAGAAAACCCCCTCAACTTCTCACAGGAATCTGGGAGTATAATTTAAAATGGACTCAATTTCTCTCTGCCATCATCACTGCTCAGCCATTGGCCTTGCCCACTCAGCAGCCCCACTGTGATGCTTGCCAGGGTTCTGCCTCTCCTCCTGCTGAGATCTGGCTCCTCAATTAATCTATTAAGCACTGGGGATTATTTAGGTCCAGAGCTCTGACATCAGAACAAAAGCTATCTAACTAAAAAAATAGGAAGAGGTAGATAAGTGACACTTTGAAGATCCAGATCAAAGAGTTATAATACAATTTCTGACCTGCTTCTGGATGTAATATTTTTCAAATATTACTACCACAGAGTCTGGAAAGCAAGTACCAGAAAAGTGGAATTGTATGAATGTGACTAAAACTTATGTCCTGGAACTAGATCCAAGGGAAAAAGTATGTGGGAGATGGAGGAGACAAGACCAGAAGGTGAATTTGTAGGTAGCTCTGCAGAGCCTTGTGGGCAAAGAGAAGAAGCAGAATGCCATGGCAGAGAGAGAAAATATTTTTTGCAGTGGTATTTTGAAGGAATGTGAATCAAAGAGGCCAGAAGGAGGAACTAGCAGTAAAAAGGACAAGCACTGCAGCTGTTGCAAGAAAAGCAAAGGGCTACTCGCATTCGTATGCTCTACTTGTGTAAGAGCAGCATTGGCTCCCTGCTTTACAACCCTGCTTTCAGAAATAAGTTTGTCAGCCAAAGTAAAGAGAAAAAGATCAATGGATTGCAATAAACGGCATTTAACATAAAAATGAGTAAAATTTACAATCCAGTTAACTTGTTAAATGTTACAAAATCAGCAAACAATAGACACAATTTGTTTTGTTCAGAGCCCAGAGGTAGAGACCAAATCCTCTAAATTAATTTCTGCAAAAGCTGGGGTTTTTTTCCAAACAGGTCTGGATCCTATTCGTTGTAGAATATACTGATTACCAACTATTTTTAAGAGCTTTACACAAACATTATTTCTTTTGTTGTGTGAAATGCAGAATCAGCCATCTGGCAAATGCCCCAGAGCTAAAATCTTTTACATGACATATAATTCAAAATGATTAAATATACAACAGAAAATAGCTATAGCATTGCACTTAAAATAGCATGAACTTTTACTGCCGATCAAAACTGATTTCTTTAGCCTAACAAGTATCCAAAGAACAATTATTTGAAGAGCTTTTAAGAGTTTCAATATGTAGGAACTAAACCTCATCTAAATTCAGTATCTTAAGTCAAATAAAAAAGAAACGAATGTACAAAAGATTAAATGGTCCTGCCTTATAAGTAGACATTTAAATCTATGGGAAGCTAAATTCATTCGAACAAAAATACTATATTCCCTCTGTATGTGTATTGCTGGGGCTTTCCTCTCCTTGCTCAGGGCATCTGCCAAAACAACTCATACATTCTTAGGCAATCACATGGGGACTAGCCTGGAATCAGGCTGTTCATCCACTCCCTCCATCATCAGAACGGGCAATTTCAGAGAAGAACAGGGAATAAAGCTCCGTGCATGATCCCTCAGCGCAGTCAATCTTTTTTCCTGCGCTGCAGTTGACTCGAAGTTAAATTTGCTGTCTTTTTTCCAGAAATACTCCAGGCCTGAAAAATTGCCAGGTCCTCATCCCACACCCAATTCTCCAGTAGTTTCTGAGAAAGAGCACGCAAACATCTGCATGTATTTGGGGTACATGAGGGTAGGTATAGAAATATTACCCTGAGCGATTATTGAGTGGTTATGGCTGTTTCTCAACTGCATTTTTCAGACAACTCAAAGTCTACATTTCCCAAAAAGCACTTGGTGCAAGTCAGATCTGAGTTGTGAGGAAAAAATGTCCAAATATAGGAGATTTCTCTCATGGATTTGTGCTCTTGGATAAACCTGAAATGGTTGAACACATCGTTGCTGACTGTCCAAAATACTTGTGCTGCTCAGTTCTTCCAGACCAAGCATGGGAACCTCCATCCCAAGGTAACAAAATGAGGAAACTGTAAGTCTGTGATTAATAAGGCTTAGAATTAAAATGGCTTTACCCCCATGCCTGGGGAGTTGGGTCAGCCTCACAACCTCAGACGTTCTAACCCCAGTCTTCTCTAAACAAATTGAAAATAATGTTCTTGAATCTTGACCTTTTCAGTTCATAATGATTCCTGAAGCAGCAGGATTTTTCCTGCTGCTTTTCACAAGACTTTCAGGCTTGTAGAAATGCTGATTTCTGGCTGGCTTGGGACTGCAGCAACACCAGAGCCCCTCTTAATAAGACACTTGTCTTGGTCTTCTAGGCCTATTCCTGCTCTTAATTCAGTTCCCTTACTGAGCTCTGAGCAAAAAGGCAGATTTTGTGTCTTTCTGCTCTTGATTATATCAATATAATATATTTCAGGTAATATTGACTGCACAGGAATCTCCCCTATGCACCATACTAATTAAACCTAAAGAAGAAATATGAAAATAGTAGAATAAATATTCTCATATTAGAATGAGGAAAAGCATGATTTATATTATTTAACCCATTCCTGTGAAAACCACAGGAGAAACAAGGCAATTTTCATCAAAAATATCTTTGCTTTTCATCAAGACAGGTGACCCAGGCAATCTGCTGAGATCTTTTCCATCTCAGTATAAAAAATTTCCTGGCTTTGATTGTATTTTCTCTTTGAAATTTATGGGCTTTTCTGATATTCAAGAGGGTCTAAAATCTGACTGTCACAGCTCTTCTTGTACCTCTCTGCTTTGCATTAAAAATAACGTCTTGTAGTTTCTACTTTTCACTGAAAAACTGGGAAATCTTCCGATCTTTCTATTGACCAAACTCTGTTACAAAGGTGCCAGGAGTCCTATTTCTGGGGAAAAAAAAAAAAAAGAGGAATACTCCTGGTGAAACAGGAGCCTGGTCCCGGTATCTATTAAAAATAAACAACGTATCTTCTTACAAATGAGCCTTCCCATTCTTATTTATGTGCTCAATTTTGCGTACTTCGCAATTCTGGAAAAAAGAAAAGCTTGAAGAACACATGGAGAATCAAGAGAAATTTGAGCATCCCCAAGGAAACAGAGGTTTAGGGACGAAGTAATAACTGAGAGGCTGTAATGAGAATTTGGAAGACTTCGCTAGATAAAAACATATAACAAAGCTGTTGCTGTCATTTCATTCCCTGGGCCTGATTATGTTTTCACGACGGGCCTTTGCGCTGCTCTAGCAGCGAGAGCTCTGTGAGTAAATGAGGATCAGACCTCCGAGCTCGAGGAGTGCAGCGCTTGCCAGGCTCCTCAGGAGCCTCCGTGGGGCTCGACATCCTCTCCTCTGCACGGACAAGTGCTGGAAGCAAACTCCCCGTTCCCAGCACGCCTGCCCTGCCCTGCTCTGCAGCCCTACCTGGGCACTGCCAAGGCCGTGCCAAGGCTCAGGGATTCCTCCTTCTCTCCCACAAACAGCGAGGAACAATTAACAATTGCTTCATAATAGGGCCGGGGTGAAAGGTGAGGACTGGAGCATTCTGAAGCCTGCTGCCAGGGCTGAGGAAGATAGTGTCATTTTGGTAAACCTGTCAAGCTGTTGTAAGAACTTCCTGAATGCTTCCTACCATCTGCTTTTGATGCTTTCAAGACTTGGCTGGAAGCCTGGAGGTTTTCCTGCTCTTTCCTGCCCAACCTATAATGGAGTAATTCTGGATCTGTTCCCTGTCATCTCAGCCTCTTCCTCAGTTTCTTCTGCTTACAGCTGTTTTTTTTTTTTTAAATTTTTTTTTTTCTCTTTACTTCAGTGGCCTTGTGTCCTGAATCATCTCTCCTGGGGCGGCAGGAGTTCCTCTGATGTTGAACAAGTGCTGGGTTTTTCAATTGTGTTCATGTTCTTGAGAGGAAGGGTCTGGCCTACATGCCACATTCCTTCTTCACACTGACATCAACAACCTGAACTTTGTGTCCAGGCCCTGGCTGGACGGGCCCCACAAAGCCCATCTCCAGCGCTCTGTCAGGCCGCACGCTGCGCCGGGCTGCTGGGCCACTATTGATTGGGATAATTTGTAGGGCTTGAGATAAATGTCATAAAGGACAATGAGTTCAAAGAACAGATTAAAAAACAATAAATTGAATTCCAAGGCGTTCCCTCCTGTACTAATCTGTGTAGGTTCCTGTGTTTTTGGAAAGCATGTTGCTTATCTTCCTCATCAGTAGGCCCACTGCATTCCAGTATTTTGGATCAATGCCATTTGTAATAATCTAGATCAGTTTTTATTCAACGTTTATAAAACAGGCCATGTATCACAGGGTATATTTTATAGCAGATGGTATCTCCAATTCATTTAACCCCTCCCCACTTCCCTCCTCCAATATCACAGTGCACACTCACAAAAGCTCTTGAAAGTAGAGCAGAATTTTTTTACAACAAATAGTAAATTTGCTGAAAAATGGAGTTTCTAAGCAACAAAACTGTTAAACTGTAGCACACTGAAAATTAAAGGTTCTGTTTTCTAGGAAAAATATAAAAAAGGTTTTCCAATTTGAACATTTGAGGGAAAAAAAAAAAAAAAAAGCAGGGTGGGTGGCTGCTTTTGGAAATCAGTTTCATTTTAAAACCCTCTGTGCTAAAAAGGCAATAAACACAAATATTAAATAGCCAGAACACAAAGTAGGTTTTTTTCAGGTCAGACTCCATTTTTTTTAGTTATCCCAGTGTCAACTGTTTGGCGATTTTCTGTGGCTTTTAACTTGAAAAGTTTCTCTTTTGGCTTGGTAAAAACTAATTTTCCCTTAAGGAAACTAAGGTTTATTAATTTATGGACCTATCCATATATTTGCCAGACTCTACTCCAAACATGGCTCTCCAAGGTGAAGGTTTCCTGTTCAGGAAGGTAAGACCCAGACTCATTTTAATAAACGGAGTTTTTTAGAACTCATTTGAATAAATTCCAAAATGTAGAGATCAGCACATGCTTAAGCACTTTGCTGGTTGACAACATGGAGCTTTTCAGCTTTCAGGATCAGTGATGTGCCCCTCACAACCACTCCCTTGCTTGAGATCATAACAGGAGAGACTGAAGATTTTTCTGAGATTAACATACCAAGTGGTAATAAAACATATTTATTCATATATGCTTGGGAATACTTCATTGTGATTTTGCAAAATATGATTTGTACAGCTCTGGGGATACATAAATCACTGATAAAATAAATAAGTTAAAAATACTTTAGCTCACTGATAATAGAACTAAGTAATGGAGTTGTTTATATTTTGGCTTTAATCAGGCATCCTAGAAGATATAATAAACCCTTCTTAGTTTACCTTGCAGCAGAAGTTAAACCATACCTGCATTTTTCAGAAACCTGCGTTTGTAGTCAACAATTACTCTGGTTTTGGGGTTATAGAATCCATCAGCAAAGTCATAACAACCTTTTGGGATTATTTTGGGAGGATCCAGATTTGTAAGCTGAGCAATGCCTGAAGGGGAAAAACAAGGTTTGATTTTTTTTTTTTATTTATGCCTTTGATCAAGATAACTAACATACATCTCCATGGTGTTTGCTATAAAAATAACAGAGTTACCTCATAATAAACTTTGTAAAACATTTCATCAATTTTGCAGATGGGGAAAATGAAAATGGAAAAATGCATACACAAAGGCTGTGTGATAAAAAACGATCACTTTGATTTCCTCATTCACAGTCCTGTGATTCAGCCCACCAAGTTAACATTACAAGTCCAACCCTAAAATCCAAAATGGGGCCAGGAAAGAATTGCTGGCTTCATAGAACTCCATGTCATCACTAAAATATTCTATGTGTTATATGTATTAAGTTACAGATTTTACTCACTTTTTTTCCCTATAAACCCACCTTTTGACTACAATAAATAACAACATTATAGAAGACTTTAGCAAAAACATAGACTGAACACAAATGTCCTTTTTGGTATCTACTAAAAGCTACGTGGGGGAGATGCTTGAAACTGCATTTGGTGTCCTGGATGCAAACTAATTGTTTTTGCCTGACTTCTCTGTATTAAAAGCACCTTGCTTTTGTAATAATCTAGATCAGTTTTTATTCAACGTTTATAAAACGTTGCTGATGCTGTGAGGGTGAACAGTACGAAAGGGTTAATCAGGATGACAAAAGCTGCAGATCACAGAGGCCTGTCCTGCTCCCAGAGAGCCGCTGTGGGTGCAGAGCTGCACCCCAGGCTGTGCTGGTGGAAGGTGGTGTCCACATTCTCCTGGCAGCATCTCAGGCTTGTATGAAATTAGCCAGAGCATTTCTGCTCCATGTTACTCATGTAGCTGAATTAATCTTTCTTAAGCAAAGTTGTTAGTTTAATTCCTTCCAGACTCTCAGGATCGCAAATGCAATTTAGTACCTGGTGGTTTAAAACCAGAACGGATTTCTGTATAGAATCTTCTGTCGTAGCCATCGCAGTAAAGCCATTTTTCCTCTTCGTATTCAAGACCATCTATAAAAGTGTATTTCCCCTGCAAAACACGTCTGAGAGCAGAGTTAATAACCGTGATGGATGGACAGAAGCACCGGCAGGGCCAGCGCGGCCCCGCTCGCCCTTTGTCGGGAATCCTGTCCGCGGTGCCGGGCCGCCAGCAGCCTCCCCCGTACCCCGAGGGGCCGAACGCTGCCTGGGCTCGGAAATCCGCGTGTTTCCCCTCCAACCTCTGCCAGCGGAGACCCCTGAGGGTGAACCCCCCCGGCCGTACCTGCGTGGGCACCCCGCGGTCCCAGAGCGCCCGGTATCCGCCGCCTTTGGGGCGCAGCAGCTGGCCCTTCCCGTGGAACATCCCGTCCCACAGCGAGCCCCGGTACTCGGTGCCCGTCGGCAGCGTGTAGTAGCCGAATCCTTCCATCCTGGAAGGCATGCCGGGGGTGAACGGTGGCAACCCCGTACCCCCGGAGTCCCCCGGTCCCACCAACCCGCTGCGACCCCCCTTGTCCCCACGGCCCATCTGCAATGCCCGCGACTCCCCTGCCCTCCCAGCACCTCCTTGCTCTCCCTTCGGGCCCCCCGCTCCCACGCGTCCCCTGCGAACCCCGCTGTGCCCCCATCTCCCCGCACCCTTCCACCTGCCCCCAGCACCCCCCGTGTCCCTTCCCGGTCCCCTGTGTCCCGCACCTGCCGCGCACGACGCCCCCCAGGTACCGGGGCCCCACCAGCTCCATGGCGGCCCCCACGGCGCGTCCCGGTCACCGCGGCAACGGCCCCGCCCCGCCCCGCCCCGCGGCCGCGCGTGCGCAGAGCGGGGTGCGCGCTGAGGGCGCTCAAGGAGAGCCGCCATGCCCGGGGTGCTGCGGGTGCCCCCGCTCGAGGAGCTCGATGTGCAGGAGGTGAGTGCGTGAGGGCCGCCGGGGCCTCCCCCGCCCTGCCCCGCCGGCCCCAACCGCCCTCACGGCCGCTGTGCCCCGCCGCAGGTGGCGGTCAGCTCGGCCGTGCTGAAGGCCGCGGCGCACCACTACGGCTCGCAGTGCGACCGGCCCAACAAGGAGTTCATGCTGTGCCGCTGGGAGGAGAAGGACCCGCGCCGGTGCCTGAGGGAGGGCCGGCAGGTGAACCAGTGCGCCATCGACTTCTTCAGGTGAGGGGCCCGGCGGGAGGCCGCCGCAGCCCCGGGCCCGGAGGTGGCGGCGCCCGGGCCGTGCCCGGCGGTGTCATTCGAGCGCCTCTGCTGTGGGACGGGCTGCGAGAGCTGCGGCTCCTCAGCCCCCGGGGTGACCTTAGTGCAGCTTTCAGTACTAACGGGCTACAAGAGAGATGGCGGGGGACTTGTGACAAGCGTATATGATGTGACAGAATAAGGGAGGATGGCTTCACACTGACAGAGTGCAGGTTTAGATTAGGTGTTTGGAAGAAATCTTGCCCTGTGAAGGTGGTGAGGCCCTGGTACATGTTGCCCAGAGAAGCTGTGGCTTCCTCATCCCTTGGAAGTGTCCAAGGCCAGGTTGGATGGCGCTTGGAGCAACCTGGCATCGTGGAAAATGTTCCCTGCCCATGGCAGGGGATGGAATGAAATGAATTTTAAGGTTCCTGCCAACCCAAACTATTCTGTAACTCCATTATTCTAATTAAAAATGCTGCCGCCATCACCGCCTTAAAACTTTTATACTTTCTTCTTTAGCTCTTGGGAATAGAGCCCATGTGTTTTGTCTTCCTTATTTATACATGGATTTATCCTGTCGCTTGAAGCTCTTTTGCCTTTGTTCCAGAGCAAGCGGCCTGGGTTTTTATTGGGAGCTCAGGGCAGTGGTGTGAGGCTGCTGCACCTTGCAGCTGAGTGGTGAACTCCAGGAAACCAACCTGAGCGTTTCATTGTCTGTCCTCCCTGTCTCATAGGTGAAGCACTGAGAAAGCTTGAGCAGGTGCACCACCTGCCTCTCCTGACCAAACATGTAGCTCGAAGGCATGTGCAGTACTGTTTTTAAAGGCCCTAATTTAATTACCTCAAGGCATGTCCACCTCCAGTGCAGCAGCTGAAACCTCTGCTCTAAGCATGGCTTTTTGAGCTTTAGACACCAAAATTATTTGGAAGCATTAGAGCACCATATAATGTAACATTTGGCAAAACAAAGATGTCCCATGGAGGAGCTGTGACTGTCCACCCAGCAAAAATCTCCTCCACACAGGAGCATAGTTAAGCTATTGCTGTCATTAATTGTAGCTGCAGCGATGGAAATTCCACAGGTACCTGTATCAAACACTGACTTGACTGAAGGTTTAGATGCTCCTGAGAACTTCAAGCTGCAAAACGCCCTTGAGCCCCGAGCTGAGGTTGGAGTGAGCAGAGGCTGGGTGGTGGTTGCTGAGGGGTTTGTGCTGTGGTGTCCCCAGGAGCATCCGGACGCACTGCGCCGAGCCCTTCACCGCCTACTGGACGTGCATCGACAACTCCAGCCAGCAGGAGCTGCGCCGCTGCCGCAAGCAGCAGGCGGCCTTCGACTCCTGCGTGCTGGACAAGCTGGGCTGGGTGAGGCCCGACCTGGGAGACCTCTCCAAGGTAACTTCTTACCCTTTCAGGCACGTCCTGCTTGCCTGTCTGTATGCACTTTTTGTCCAGACCAGGTCTCCAGCATCTCTTGGCTTGATGGTGTTTTGTGAACTCGGCACTGGAAGTTTGTGGGATGGTAGAAGTCAAGACTGGCAGCATTTTCCAGGATTGCTTTTCCAGTAGACTTGTGCTTTTCTTAGACAACAAAATTCTTACTTTTTGCTTTTCCTGCTAGAGGCTTTTCCTTTAGGGATGAAGCTCATGCTCACGTGGAGCTATTCTGTAGTTGTGATGAAACATCCCTCCCTTCCCTTAGAAGTATTGAGGAGCTCTCATCAGCTGAACAATGTGTCCTTACTATTGTTTGGTTCTTCTTGGTAGTCCTTCCTTGAAGTTCTGACCCAACCTGGCCATTAAATGCTGTGAGAAGTCGTATCACTTCTTTGCATTTCTTTCCAGGTTACGAAGGTGAAGACAGACCGTCCTCTGCCTGAGAATGCCTATCACTCTAGACCCAGACCAGAGCCAAACCCACCCACGGAAGGGGAGCTGAAGCCCTCTCCCCTTGGCAGCAGGCTCTTTTTCTGGTCCTGGTGAAGTGGGCAGGCTGTGCCGTGACTCAAGTGCAGAGATGTGGCACTTGCACATGTAAATTGTGTGGTGTGTGCTGGGTATTACTAATAATTAAAGAGCCCAAAACCATTACATGGCTGAGCAGACTTCTTTAAACTCATAGCAACGAGAACAATGCATTTCCCTGTTTTGCTCAGAGCTCTCTGCAGTCACACAGCCCTTGGGACCCTCTGGGCACCAGTAACGTCAGCTGGTTGATCATGATTACCAGGATTGTCTGATGTGTGCAAACGTAGTTCCAGTCTTTGACTGCTGGCCCATCAATCACAAACTGGCGAGAGACTTGATTTACTCACTTACTGAGAACATTGCCTCATGGATCAAGGAAACTCTGGGAACAAACAAGTCATTAATGTCTTCCCTTAGTCTTGCAACTGATAATTGGGCATTCTTTCCAAGGGACTCCTGTAGAGGTTTAACCTAAAATCTGTCTTGGAGCAAGGAGTTAGTGGAATCTGGCATTTGCTAGGTGTGGGGGCAATGCAGTTTCTGCCATAAAGATCCCTGTTGTGCTTCCCATCTGCTCATACAACAATGACTTCCACTTTTTGGACTGTTCTATTGGGGGAGCACAAGCTACTTTATCAGAAAAATATCATATTAAATTTTCAACACCTTTCAGGAAGAAATTTCTCCTAAAGGATCTTGTACCCCATTAAGCATTGTAGGAAAGGAGCTTTTATTCTGTCTCAAGGCCATTACTTAAAGGGTTTGGGGCAAATCCTTCCCATTTTTTTTCACTGTGATGATCTTTTTGATGGAGGAGTTAGTGAGCTTTTTAAAATTTATCTTTTCTACAATATCTGAAAGTCATGTTTTTCACAGGAGTTGGATCTAGTCTTTTATTTGCCTCCATCCAATAGCAAAAACCTTTTTATCAAGGTCAGAAAAATTCAAATGAACTTGTTTTTCCAAAACAATATGCAGTTTAATTTGCTCTGGATGACATTGTCTCACCTGAACCATGGCAAAGAGTGGAACTGTGCTCTGCTCCTTGAGTAGCCTGCTGGTAGTAAGATCTGAAGATTTACCATCTTGTTTGAGGTGGGATTAAACTGTAATGGTTCTATAGCTGCAGCATATGTTTCTGATCCATGGAGCTTGAGAGAAAATTGTATACCATTTATCTGAAAACAGCTTGTGCAGTGTGTGGCTTCTGGGTTCTTGCTGCTTTCTGCTGGAGTGCATTGACTGAAACTCAGGGCAGGTGCTATGTTTGCACTTTCATGTGCATACCAGCCTGTCTTAGCAGCTCCTTGCCTAAATCTGGGAGCTGGTGCTGCACCTTTGCAGTTTCTCCTTGCCCATCACTGCCACCATCTTTTGGCTGGAGGAAGATAACCCTTCTCTGCAGAGGCTGAAATTTGGACAAGCTTGGGCTCTAATTGCATTCAGCTGAGTGAGCGAGATGAAGTTTGGCCGAGCAGAGGATGAATTGTTCTGGGATGTTAACACGTATCGCATCAGATCTTTGCTCACCCACTCCAACAGTTGATCAGGAGTTTTTAGATCTTACCATGTTCTGGTAATAACTTACTATTGTCAGCATATTGCGTGAACCATTGCACTGCTGAACATCTGCTCTGGAATTAACAGGCATGGGCATTCCAGTAGTCAGCCCCTAATCACAATTAAAGAGTATTTTTTCCTATTACATTGCTTCTGAAAAGAAAGACATTTGTAAGTAGGGGGGCAGTTTTTTTCCAACAGCCTGATAAGAACCCCACCCTTAAGTTGGCTAATACTGTAAGCAAAAAAAAAAATTATGCTGAGCCTCAAAGGTTTATTTTCTGTTTTTTGACAGCTTAATCTACAGCCTCTTGGGTCAGAGCTGTGGGATCTAGTAATGATACACTGATCAAAGCTTAAATGTCAGAATTAACTGTCTCCTGGCCTAGATTCCCTCTTCAGTTTCAAGCAGGAGTGGGCAGGTGAAAGTACAAAAGAGATCAGCAGAGGAGGACAATGAATTTATAAAGTCAAGTAGCATTCAGCTGTAGCTGAGCATTTCCTTCGTTAACCTCTCTATGATAATTGTTTTTTGTCTTTATCTCATGCCTAAATCTCTGGAAAAGTGTTGCCAGAGACTTTTCATGGTGCTTTGGACAGTGCCTGAAGGCAGCTATTTCTGCTCAAAATTGTGTGGCTTTACTCAAACCTGGATGCCCCTTTGGAGCTGTAATGGAAACTAGAACAAGTGGATGTCGAGATTCAGTAAAGACCATAAAAGTATTTTTGAGGAATGTGTCTTGACAATTTTTTGGCAGATGGAGAGCAGACACAGATTCAACACAGATATTTCCCTGGCCCCGTGAGAAGTGTTATTTGTTGTGCTGTGGGATCTCAGCTTTGCCAGAGTTTCTAATCACATGTTAACAAAATGTTAAGCCAGCGTTGTAGCTTATTCCACTGCGGGTCAGATTCGGCGGAACCTGCTCCATTCTTTCAGACTGTGGGTGGGAAGAGTAAAATCAGAGTAATTTCAAATCTCAGTAAGGTGGGACTGTGCATTTCTGGAGCAGCAGACTTGTGTGGCAGTAGCACAACAGCATATTTCTGAGAATGTCTCTCTTCAGAACATCTGGCACTTGGAGATGCCCCGGTTTCAAATGGTTCTGCTCAGTTCAGAACTGTACGATCCGTTTGAAGCTCTCTGTGTGCTCTTGTACTGGAAGAGTTTAGAAGTGAGAATCCATCTGGGCAGGAACAGATTTCAGACTCCCTCTTGTGGCTGCATTAAGCTGATTTTGGGCATCTCTGTGAAGACTTGCCATCGTGAAAATCCAAAGGCTACTTAAATACAGAAACTTGATTAGATCTTTTGTCTTTGCTATAAAATTCACATTGTCTCAACTTGATTTTTCCTACATGTCAAAACTATTAAGTATTACGGGAGAAAAGGAAGAAAAATTATTTGAAAACTATTGCCTCAGTCACATTTGGTGTGGTTTAAGGAAGCTAAGGTAGAATTGAAGTAGATGGAGGCGGCTGGGAAGTCACAGTGTTCATTATAATTCCTTCTCTGAATCCAGAAGGGAGATGACCCTGGTGCTGCAGAGAGTAGGGTGGTTCTGCACTTATGGGACTGGTGTGAAATGAGTGGGATGGGCAAGGATGGGGGAGCAGGTTGATTGCAATATTTACCTTTGTATGAAAGCACATTATTTCTCTTTGTTAGGAACAGACATGGCCTCACCAAATTACTAATGTTAATAACTCTGTTCATAATTTTCTGTTTTTCATTTGAGCCATTCTACCTGGGGACTTGATCTGAATCTAAGGCGCCTTCTGCATGGCTGAGTGTGATGCAAATAGTACTTTGGCAAAGGGAGGAGGTCTGAGAAAACACAGCACAGCAAACTAGAAGCAAATAGTCCGTGGTGTGAATTTGGCTTTAAAGCAGTAAATCAGCACTGCAAGCAGAAGCAGATGCTGGGTGGCTCCCAGACCCCCAAGGCAGGTCAGCAACAGCCCACTCGCTGCTGAGTGGGCTTGGTGGGCTTCCTGGGCTTGGTTTCTGCTTCAACAAATTTCTCCACTCCCACGTGCTGCCGGAGCCTTGGCCAGCCCCACACAGACACGGTGCAGGTTCCTCTGTGCTTGGCAAGGGCAGGCAGCGAGGGAGGAGAGTCCCAGTCCCCTGTGCCCCAGGCTGTGCCTGCCTGGGGACAGCTCCTCCAGGCTGTGCCAGGCTGAGACACAAGCAGAAGCTGCTGGGACATGAAGAGTTTTATTATACATCATATATCCAGGAACAGGGGCTCAAAGAAGGGAGCGTTGAATGGGGTAAAAGCTCTTTTTTGCATCCCAAGCATATCCCCAGTGCTGCTGCCTGAGAAATATCTTAGATCACATTTGTCTGTTGCTGGTGCCTGAACAAAAGGATTCCAGTCTGCAAGTTCCTGTGCTCTTGGCTGGGCTTGGCAAGTGCAGGTGGTTCAAGGGAGTGTTTGGTTCACACTGTTCTGCAGCACAAAATGGCAAACGGCTTTTGCACTTTTGATAGGGTTTAAATTAATTTTTCCCTTCTCACCAGGGTAAATGAGACCTGGGAAGAATGGCCATGCCTATTGCTTTGATAAGCTTGGCTTTGGCTCCAATTCTGGCACCAAGAAAGGAATTAAAATACAGGGAAGGGGAGCTCTATAAAAGAGCTATGGGTCTCCTCCCAAGTTGATAGGTTAAACCACACAAAACCCTGAATCTGAGGCATTGCTCTAATATTTGTAAAATCAGCATGGCAGCTCTGTTAAGGGCTGTGAGTCAGCCTGAGGGTGGTTCAGCTCTTTATGAGTAGTAGCACAGCCTTCTGCTTCCATGCAAACAGGAGCGAGGATTTTAATGGAGCCAGAATTACCCCTTTGGTTAGAGCACTGTCTGACCTCTGCTTTGTTCTCGCTGCCTCCCGTGTGCAGCTGTGCCGAGACAGGAACCTGACCCAGCTTTGGGAGAAAAGGGCTGGATGGAGCCCCTAAATGTGGGATGGATGGAGCCCTCCGTACCTGCCGGGCCCAGCCTGGGCTCTCCCCGGGCTGTCCCCGGGCTGTCCCCGGGCTGTCCTCGGGCTCTCCTCGGGCTGTCCCCGGGCTGTCCCCGGGCTCTCCCGGGCTCTCCCCGGGCTCTGTCCCCGGCCTCTCCCCGAGCTCTCCCGGGCTGTCCCCGGGCTCTCCCCGGGCTGTCCCCGGGCTGTCCCCGGGCTCTCCCGGGCTCTCCCCGGCCTCTCCCCGGGCTCTCCCGGGCCCGGCCCGGCCCGGCCGTGTGCCGCAGCTCTGCCCGGTCCCCGCCGCTCGGGGCCAGCCTGCGCTCCAGGCTAAACAGAGGAAGGGGAGGGTCAGCCGCCGCCGAGAGCTCTGCCCAAGGCTCAAGAAGCACATTTTGGCAGAGGAAAGAAATACAATGCAAGCAGGGAGGGAAACTCGACTTCCATCCAACCCCCTCCAAGCAGCTTTTGGCTCCCTACAGCTGCTGGAGACTTTACTACCAGTTACTGGGCTCTTTATTTTTACAGGCTTTCATGTGTTTGTTTTCTGTCTCTTAGAGCAGTGTTTCAGAGGGGACGGAGCAGAGCAGAA